CTTCATTACTCTTTTCATTTAGTAAGATATTACAAATATTTAGTGTTCAGAAGCTTTTTCCTCAAGTCAGAAGCAACAAGTAGTGATAAAAACTTTGATTAAAATTCTGTCGAATAAAAAGTAGAGATGTAAAGGGAGAAGATAAGAGGTTTGTTGACGGGACTTTTCTTATCAGGGAAAAACACATACTTATAAATTCTTAGCCACATTAAAGTTCAGCTAGGTTATAAGACAATAGATTGTTATGATTGGTCAGCAAATGGACTAAGGTTAAACAAGTAGTCCAATGAGGTTATTTCATGTCCACAACGTAAACCATATCCAGATTGGAGGAATAAACACTTCTGCCTCTACAGCCATGGACTTAAAATGTTGGTTTCAATTTTGACCGCTTACTATCAGTCTACATGACGCCTCACAGTGTTATACAGTAATATTTACTGATGACGTTTCGAGCACAATTTATTGCTCATAATCATAATCATCATCATACCTTGATATGATTATGAGCAATAAATTGTGCTCGAAACGTCATCAGTAAATATTACTGTGTAACACTGTGAGACTCTATCAAAATAAAATTTACCCATAATGGAATTACACTCTACCACAGTGCCCAAGTTTTATTCTTTAATCATTGATACATGACGCCATAAAGACAGTTGTTTACCTGGTAGTTGGGAAGTAGATATTATGCAATCTAAAATAATTCTTATTTCTTGAATTTATTGAATTATTGTCCATCTCTTATTCCTGCTTTCATAAATCTATGATAGTTAATGTAAATAAAAGTTAACTGAAAAAATTGATTAAATGGATTACAAAGTTGTAAAAATAGAGGTACGACAATTATTTTGAATAAAAGGATAAACAACTACTTCAAAATAAAATAGAGTGTTTCATTTGTTGAGCACGAATTTTTTTAAGGATTTGCAATTATATACCTGAGAAGTTATTTATCTTTTCAGTCACTCTACACTTAACTTTAGAGATTTTGCTGAATTATTTAATGAACATTTAAGTTATAAGTTGACATTGGTGCTCAGCGAAAAAGGTTGAAGTGAATAATTTTATCTTATTATTTAAAATTCTGTAAAAGAAAAATTAGTCTATCCACTACAATGCCTGTTGAAAAGTATCTCTTCCCTTAAAAAACCGTGAAGTAGGATGGTTTTAAAGACTTAACTCACCTTTTATTCACATCAGTAAGAATTAGGAAAACTAGCGGTAGCATGATTTCATTTCCTCCAGCAGTTTCATTGCATGATGACTTTTCCTCAGGAAATTCTCTTATTTCTAGTTTTACTAACTAGGTTTATAAGAATAATATTATTAGCTTTCGCTACGCGTTTTAAAATCCATCTTATCGAATAGAACTGTCACAGCATTAAGCTACCGAGTTGACTCTGACGATACAATACGCTACATTACATTTTATATATGTCATATAAACAACTTACTATTGATTATTTTATTCCTGTACGTTCCCAGTGGAACATAGGGCTTGAAGTTTCAGTAGCAGTGGTATTTATTTTTACAGGATGGGGTTGCTAGCCTCATGCCCAACCTTCCCTCTTTACCAGTCTTATTACTGGCTTAACGAGGTAAAGAAGTGAGTCCGTTGGCCGTAGATGGAACCCCGGACCACATGAGGCGTGGTTGGTGAGC